GAGGGGTTTATCCAACACTGAGGGCTAGAGTGCGGAGGAGGGGTAGCCGACCTGGTCTGTTCTAGAACAGTTCTAGACGAAGAATATGGTTTCAAGCTAAGCCTCAGTAGGGGAGGAGCGGCTGGGTTGGGCTGGGAAGATTACCTCGCGCAAAAAGCTAGGATGGGTATGAACTGAATATTCAATCAACTTACCCACCTCGATGCCCATTTCCTTCTGAAGTTCAGATCAAAAAACTGTAGTTCTCGGCTAAGAAACGTTAATGAGCATAATTATGGGCTTGCCTCCTTATGTTGAATTTGTGTTGAAAAAAGCATAGATCTGCCAACTACATTATCGCCTCGGATTTTTGTGAAGCCATACATAGCGCGATGCCGGTACAGTTTGAATTCACAGTTTTGGTAGAACCCATTTCACTCCACATCACTCACCTCACCCCGCTGTACTCACTCTATTCCATAAAGCTACCCACCAAGTTACGGCTTCATATATAAGAAGAGAGTGTAGAATAAAGCTAGGTTTTCCATATCACTACCTTTATCGTAATCATACGCTTTGCGGACGGACAGACCGACAAACCGACACACCGACAAACTTACAAACCGAGGCACCAAGTTTCTCTTTTATAAATGAGAGATAAGAAAAGATCAAAAAAGTAAGGACGAATAAAAGAAAAGTAAAGATGGGTACGAAAAATTCCATGATGAATCGGAAAGACGAGTGTCTAGCCGCGACAAATTAAATTGCCCCGTTCTTCGACCTGTGTGGGCTACCGCTGCCACCGACTTCAAGTCGTCGCGGTAAACCCACTGCGAAAAGGTCTGAATGGACAGTTCGAGAAGTGGCCCACATGACTTCTTCTCCTATGCAAGGTTGTAACTTACGAGACCTTTCTAGATATTTATGTGACTTTGCCCAAAGGGAGGAGCGAATGTAATGGCGAGTGGCGCACAGCTCACATGCACGGTCACGGGTTTGAACCCTTGATCAATAAGCGTCGAAGCCAACAGAGCCTTCTCTCCCTCCGAGGTGGGCTCGCTGGGAGAATAAAAGCACTGTGTTTTACAACTGCTGGTCAGCGCAACTCATTTTGTAGGCCATTCCATACTCCACTACGATTTTAAATGGAAGTCGAGTGCGTGGGCTCCCTCACACGGGGATTGATGCGTGCTCCAATACTCTAACAAGGAGAGTCTTTCAGGGCGTGGGACGCTTTTTGAAAATGGTTTTTTGCATGGTATAGGGGCATGAGCACTGAGTATAGAAC